CAGGAAATTGACTCACATATCGATGGTAACAAGGTAATTCAATAAGGGAGAAAATAGCTTTCTCAATCAATAGTGCTAAGCAGTTTCTCAATATTGACATTATTGACCAGATAATTCTTTGTGGTGGGGGCTGTCCTGTACGTTGCAGAATACTTAGCAACGTCCTTGGCTCTACCCACTAGATGCCACAAACACTCCCTCCTCAGCTGTGGGAACCAAAAATGTCTCCAGACATTACCAAATGTCCATTGGTAGGCAAAATTACTCTTAGTTGAAAATCACTATGCTAGAACATTAGATATCCATATGAAGGAAAATGAATTTTGATTCAAACCTCACATTTGCACAAAAAATTAACTTGAACATGGGCATTCACGTAAAAGTTAAAATCATAAAATCTCTAAATCAAGGTTTTTCTACAGAAGCACTACTGACAGTTTGAGATAGATGATTCTTTGCTGTGGGAGATGTCCTGTGCACTGCAGGATGTTTAGTGGTACCACTGGCGTCTAGCCAGTAAATACCAGTAACATTCTGTCAGTTGTGACAACCAAAAATGTCTCCATACATTGATAAAGTCTCCTGGGTGTGGGGTGGAGAGGGACTGGCACAGCAGGGGTAAAGTAAAAGTGACCCCAGATGAAAAATCACTTGGGGTCAGCAAATATTTCCATGCTAGAACACATAAAAGCACCAACTATAAAACATTTGAAACATTAAACTTCATTAAAATTGTTTTTTGAAATGCGGTTTAAAAAATTAAAAAGTGTGTCATAAACTGGGAGTAAACTACATATAACAGACTTGTATTCAGACTATATAAAGAACTTTCAAAACTCCAAAATATAAACCAATAAAATCAGCAAAAAAATTTTGACAGACATTTCACATAAGAATATATACAGAGCAGATCCAAAGAAGTTCAAGCATTGCTCATCAGGAAAACGGAAATTAAAACCATTATGGGTTGAATAAAATTTAAAAAGATTAACAATAATACTAAGTGCTAGTAAAAGGGTAGAGCAAGTGGAACTCATTGCTGGTGAGAATATAAAATGGTATACTTACTATAAAAAACAGTTTGGCAGTTTCTAATAAAATTTAACTACATTTGCCATAAGATTGAGAAATTTTATGTCTATTTACCCAAGAAAAATTAAAACATGTCCCCAAAAAAACCTGTACAAGAATGTTCATAGTGGTTTTATTCATAATTATCCCCAAATGGAAATGACACAAATGACCATCAACAGATGAATTTATAAACCAGTTTTGGTATAAGCATACAATAAAACAAAAAGGAATAAAAAAGGAACAAAGTATGGATACTTTCATCAATGTGGACGAATTTCAAAAAAATGCTGAATGAGAGAAGCCAGACACGAAACATTATATTAATTAAATTTGTATAGTTAAATGATTCAGGTTCTAGAAAAGATAAAATTTAGAGGGGGAACTTGTAAATTAAAAGAAACTTTTATCAAATAAAAGAAAAAACTTCCAACATATGTAACCCATAAAATTTTTGTATTTAGAATAGAGAAAGAATTCACACATATCAGTAAGATGGAAAATCCAGAATAAAGGGCAAACCTGAACAGTCGATTCACAAGAAATGAGCAATATGCCCATGAAAAGATACAGTCGTATTATGTATACCACCATATCCTCTAGATAGGTTAAAACTAAAGTGACTGTAAGTATCGATGTTGAGGACATGGAGCAACAAGACTCTCAAATGGAATAGATGAAATGTAAGTTGTACTACTACTTTGGAAAACAGTTTGACATTGTATACTACAGTTGACGAAGATATGCATACTCTATGACCTAACAATTCCATTCCTAGGTGTATATATATACCCAGTAAAAATGTGTGGCTGTGTGCACAAAGAAACAAGTATGAGAATTTTCATGGGGCATTGCTTTGAATAGCTTGAAAATTGAAACAAGCCAAATTTTGATCAACAGAATAAATTAGTTTATTCATAATGTACAGAAATGAAAATGAATGAACTACACACATCCATATGAATCTCACAAACATAATACTGAAAGGAAAAATTCTGTTCACATAAAAGAACAAAAGAATTCTACTCAAATAAAATTCAAAAACAGGCAATAGAGAAATCAAAGAACTACCAGAAAAAAAAAAAGCATGTAATAGTGATTATCTCTTTAAGGAAGGAGAATGTTATTATCTAGGAAAGATACAAAGGGGGTTTCTGGATTATTGGTAATGTTTTATTTCTTGACTTGGAAGAGAATTACATAGGTGTTCTTTGTTAAGTTGTATACAGTTGTTCTATATGCTTTTCCATAGGTACATTACATTTCATAACATAAAATTAAAATTTTAAAATAGTAAAAAAATTAGAAAAATACCAGTGAATCTTTGGGGTGGAAATATAAAATATAAATTAGAGAAAATGTGCTGCCACATCAATCTGGCTTTAAAAAGACAATGCTGATTGTTAGCTACCAAATAATGTACTCTGTTAAAAAGCATTTTTATATCAACTTAAATAATTATATTGATCACTTGAGCACTTACTGTATACCAGGCATTATTCTAATCACTGGGAACACTGTAGTGTACGAAACAGTGTTACTTATAGGCATTGTGGAGAAAGACAATAAACATACAAACAAAAAAATTGTAAAAGAAATATTGAGGGTGATGCTATCTCTTGGGGGAGGTAATTAGAAACATCCTCATTGATAGTTGGCACCTGAACAGAGGGAGACTTAAAGAAATCAAGGAACTAATCCATGTAGATATCTGAGGAACAGCTTGCCAGAAAGAAGGGAACAGCCAAAGGCCTTACGGCAGGACCATGATTGGAGTACTCAAGAAACACAAAGAGGCCACTAGGCAGGAGTGGAACAACTGGGAGGAGGATATGTAAAAGATGAAGCAGGCTGGCGGGTAGGGAAGGATGGGGGTGTGATCTTGTAGGACATTGCATAACTTTGTTAAGACTCTCTCGTCCTAAGACAAGAAGCGACATTAAACCAGTGAAAAGAAGGGATGTGATTTATGTTTTAAAACCATCACTCTGGTTCTTTAAAAGGCACTATTAAAACAGAAATAGCTACATTTCCACTTCCACATGGAAAAGTATGACTCTGTTTTGAATATATCATATTTATATTCAGAGAAAATAAAAATGGAATTCTTTCTTTAATTCAGAAGAATCATTCTTCTGGTTCATATTAACAAAATTTTACCTTAAAAAGTGTTTACCCTGTAGACTGGTGGTGGGAATGTAAATTGGTACAGTCACTATAGAGAACAGCATGGAGGGTTATCAAAATATTAAAGAATTGAGCTACCATATGATTCAGCAACCTCTCTTCTGGGTTTCCATCTCCAACATTTGAAAACACTTATTTGTAAAGATATATGTACCCCCATGTTTACTGTAGCATTATTCGCAATAGCCAAGACATGGAAACAACCTAAGCATCCTTCAATGGATGACTAGATAAAGATGATATGGTATATATACACAATAGAATATTACTCAGCCATTACAAAGATAAAATATTGCCATTTACAACAAGGATGAATCTTAAGAGTTTCATGCTAAGTGAAATAAGTCAGATGGAAAAGGACAAGAACTCCCATATGATTTCACTCATATGTGGGCTATAAAACCAAAAGCAACACAGTAACAAACAAAACAAGCTCACAGGTACAGACAACAGAATGGTGGTTACCAGAGGAAAAGGTGGATGGGAGAAGGATGAAGATGGTAAAGGTAGTCAAAGATATGGTGACAGAAGGAGACTAGACTTTGGATGGTGAACACATAATTAAGCACCCAGATGTTGTATTACAAAGTTGTACACCTGAAATGTATATATTATTAACCAATAAATTTAATTAGAAAGAATAAAAAAATAAATGTTTTAAAAAAAGGCAAAACTAATGCCCTCTGCTGTCCCAATTTATAGTGACCAGTTTTTTTTAATTGTGGTAAAACACACATAAAACTTACCATTTTAACCATTCTGAAGTGTAGAGTTCAAGAGTGTTGAGTGTATTACATTGCTGTGTATAGTGACTAGTTTTAAAGGCTTAAAAAAAAATCCAGGCTGGTGTTGGTGTTTGTAGATTAACTTTACTACAATAATACAGTTTACCCTTGAACAACATGGGTTTGAACTGTGTAGGTCCATTTGCGTGCAAATGTTTTTCAATAAATACTGTAAATGTGTTTTCCCTTATGATTTTCTTAATAACATTTTCTTTAGCTTACTTTATTGTAAGAATATAGTATACAATACATATTACATAAAAAATATATGTTAATTGACTATTTATGTTATTGGTAAGGCTTCCAGTAAACAGTAGCCTATTACTATTACGTTTTGGGGGAGTTAATAGCTGTACCCAAATTTTCAACTGCACAGGAGAGTCAGCTCCCCTAATCCTGGAGTTGTTCAACAGTCAGCTGTATATATTAATAGTTATTATTTAAGTAGGGTACAAGGCAGAGTAATTTACATGCTTTGCTAATAAATGTACAGGTATGATTTATATCAAAAAATGAACTCATAGCTGAAATTTAACATTTGGTGGCTGGTATACATTACCATGAAGGTAATAAAAACAAATTAATGTTCTAAAAGACCATTCAGAGTTTTAGGGTCTACGATAAACTGCTTAAACACTCATTCTCTCTCAAGGGAAATCAGTGCATCAGATTAAACCATTCATGTGAGTAAAGTATAACTCTCAAACGCAGTAAGTAGTTGAATCATGAAAAGAAAAAAGCCCTAATATGAATATACTATAGTACATAATTTTGAAGTGTTAGTATAGTATTTCTATTATTTAAATACATGATGAATAAAAGATCTACATACAATTTAGTCTATAAATTGATAATATTGGTATTTCCATATGCTTTTGGCAGGATCATCACATATTTTAAAATGCTGCTATTGCCTATTACTTGGCAATTTAAGTAAATGTGATTTTTTTTTTTTACCTCTGTGAAGAGACGCCCATCATCAGAAAGCATATTATAATCCTGTGCACATTTCTTTGCAGAATTCTGTAAAAACTTTAGGAATTCAGTAACTTCTTCGCTCACGTGTTTTTTCATATCCTGGTTTTTAAAAAAGCAGACGTTTTGGCATAAGAAGCTTGGTCAAAAACAATCACTTCTCAGTCATTGCTCTAATAATTTGGACTTAAAGAATAATTAAAAATATCATATCCGAAGCAAAAATCACAAAGAAAAACCTAGTAAAAATTATTAAATAATGACAAACTTGTTATTAAAAACTCCTCAAAAACTGAAAAACAAATGACTAATACTACAATAAAATACTCTTAATTAACATTGAGAAAAGAACGAACACCTGAATGGAAAAATAAACAAACAAAATGAATAGGTAAATTACAAAAGAAAAGAAATGGCTTATAAACATATAACACTTGGGAAATGCTTATTTTCATTAGTAATCACTGTAAATTAATGTAAAACAAGGGATCACCATTACTTCCTTATTAAATTGGAGGCAAGAAAGGTGATGCCCACTATCAGTGATATAAACAAACTGTTTAAACTATTTGGAGAACAATTTACCTATGTGTAGGTACATACCAAAGCCTTAAAAACGTGTACAGTTTTTGATATCAGTTATATTTTTAAAGTTTTATGTTAAGGAAACAATTATAAATAAGAACAAAGTTTGCAACAATAATGTTCAGCATATCCTTTATATAGTCAAGAATTTGGAAACTACTTAAAATTTTAAACTGGTTCAATGACCCATGTAAGGCTCTATTGCCAGCACTTAAGATGAACTGGAATCATGCTCACAACTAGAGCAAAATGCCTGCACTGCAACAGAACCATCAAAAGAGCTAAAGCACCAATTTGTCAATTAAACTTAAATTTTTCCATTTTTGTTAATATGATTGCATCTAAAAACATAAAAGCAAATTTAAAGTATTTCTTGACTTTTAAATATTTTTTACTAAAGCTGGAGGACAGAATACATACCAAGTACTGCAAGTAGTCATTTTTATTTATTCCAACAGCTTTGGAATTTGTAGAAATTTTTGCGTATTTAACCAATAAATCCACATAACTCCTCTGCTCTCTCTGTGAGAAACGAGAGAAACGAGGATAAGGAACTCTTGGTTTTGGAAGAAGAACCATTCCAACTGTGGTTTTAACTTTTTCCTTTGCTTGAGTTGCTGAACTAACTGCCGGCTCATTTTCTACAGAATTTGCTGAGGCATTCAAATTTTCTCCTATACGTCTGGAAAAAAAAAAAATACAATTTACAAATATGTGCTTTTCACATGAAGATTACTATCATAGAACTTCATGATTCTTAATTACCAGGGAGAATATACCATGATTAACACAGTAAATTCTGAATTATTATCTTACTTTTGCCACCTGCATTTTGATGTTTAGCTATTCAGTATAAATTAAGTATTCTGCAGGATAGGATCACATTATAAGCTTACCTTCAATTATCTGATGGACAGGAAGAGGCATAATCCTTAGACAAGTCATTCAATTTGAAAGTGTTTCCCTTTACTGAAGAGGGATAAATCACTCTTCCAATTGCATATGCAGGTATTTCATGATTACACTTTATTACAATGCAAGTTGTTTAATGCTTAAATTCTTAAGATATATCCATTAATAGAGTGAACAAAAGCCACAAACAGTAGGATAAAATGAGGTCACAAGCCTGAAGTTAACAAATTCCCTGAGATTCTAAATTCTCTGGATTCCTCTTCTTTAATTATCTCAAGAATTAAAAAGAAAATTCCAACTTGCGTGCCATGTTTTACAGAATGGTGGTTTTAGAAAAGTTGTACAATCCTCTATCACTCATGTACACGGCTGAATCCACAGAAATGTCTTTATGTTTTGTATGGATGCAAAAGAGAAACCTTAGCATATTTATAATGAAATGCACTACAGGAGAAAGTAGTAAATGGCTAGAGAACCTGCTGTCATATTTGTTTATAAAATTACCTTACCACTCCAATTAAGGTATATGAATACAAATTTCTTATTTTGTTCATAATCTGTCTATTCCTGCTATTCAGTTGTTGTAATCTACATTTTTAATAAGTTGTTTTTAAAGTACACACACATACAACACACACTCTACATTTCCTTACCCTCCAAACTCTAATTTCTACCACATTAACGGATTCCTATTAATTTGGTTCCAAATTAAGCAACAATAATCCAAGAGGAAGGAAAGCTAATGAGAAAGATGGACATGTGCTGAATCAGTCTTCATTCCTCCATTCATTAATATTTACTGAGTTGACTAGTATGTATCAGCCCTATACTGGACACTGGAGATACAGCCAATGTTAAGCACAACACAATCTCTACTTTCTAGGACCTTATAATAGAGTGGATCAGACAAATGAATGGGGAAGGAAGAAAAGTAAATACATACATACACCAATACAATGTGATTATAGTGCTCTCAGGTTTCCAAAATGAACATATTAAATATGTGACTGAGAAGAATCCTAAGAACACTGAGATCAGGGATCAAAAGGGAGAAAGGGGAGGGGTAGGAATTATCCAGAGCTCTTGTTCTCAACTGTAACAGTATTAAGTCCCTCGGGGCATTTTGGAAGCCTGTGGCTGCATCTGGATTGTCACAAAAGGAATAAAATTAAAAGCATTTAGAAGTGAAGAACACTAAATGCCTGTAATATCCAGCGGTATCCTGCACAACTTTCAAAGGTCCCTTCAGGTTTTCTGTTATCATATACAAATAAGTCTGGTCTATTACTACTTATCCTAATAATATCTTTTATTCAATTTTTCTTATCATTCCCTCATGGTATAGTTTATCTCACTTCTTTTAAATCCAACCTTGTTCACTTTAACTGGTCTATCTACTTCATTATATCTTCTACTGTAATAGTATCTATGCACTTATATATTAAAATACATATTAGAATATAAAATATTTTTCTATTTCACATTTATGTGTCTAAGGCATTATTTCTAAATATAATGTCTGTGGCTATTATTGTCTATGAATTTCAATTCAGGCTAGTAAAGGAGGTGAAGTTTTGGCCTGATAAGGTTGAGAAGTATCAATTTAGATCTGTGTTTGGACAAAAAGTACGTTGAGCCTCCTCCAAAAGTAACAGTGATTTGTTTTAAATCCACTTTACAACACTAGAATTAATATGGTAAAAATTCCTAAAGTTTTGGAAAAAGACTTAGGGCCCCATAAAAAGCAAAAATATTCAAGCATTGTTTTAGAGCTAAACTATGGATAGAAAACTAATCAAGAGAGGAGATTAGTGAATGGGAAAAGAATTATGGAAATTAAAATAAGGATGCTTAGATTGGTTCTGAAAATAACACAGGTGAAAGAAGACATACTTAACAACTAAAGTTCCTCCAATAACTGTATAAAAATAAGCATATTTTAGGTTAACAAAATGAATATTAACTGCTGATCTTGGGAAAATGTATTATAGCAAATTGATTTCTCACTAGAAATGTCTTGAGAGCTATTCAAACCTAACAGTATTGTGTCCGCAACTCTTAACAATACTGCTTCACAGCTGTCTCTCTGAATATGAGAACATGTCTGTCCTTGTGGCACAAACTGGCA